GGGCGGCGAGGTCGACCTCCGACGGGCGAAAGTCACCCCGCGGGCTCCCAGGTCAGCGCCCTGCAATTCACCTCGCACTGAACGGCCCCTCATGGAGCTGCTGACGTCTGCGCTGCGAAGGCAGCGCGACGAGCAGCCGCCCCTGTGTATTCAAAGGCCACCACTTACAAACAGGCTAAGCTGGGTCGTGACGCCTCAAGAAGGTTGTCACCCATCCAGCGCGAAGTGGCTGAGCAATGCTCCGCGAACGCGCCCGCGCGAGCGCGCGCATAGGGCGCGAGTGCGCGCGCGCGCATGGGAGCGAGCAGTCTTCAGATTCGGCGCGATCGCTTGGTTGAACAGGGCCATTCAGTTTCTGAGATACGAAACCTGCTGAAGTGCAACGCGTGTTCGGCTGAGTTCGGCGTGGAAGGCCCACTGTCGGCCTTCCGGCCCGCGCCCTGCAATTCCGCGCAGCTTTCGTTTTTTGTTTTGCGCCTGGGCAGGATGGGGGCCAGGGAACCGTGGGTTCTGGAGCTGCCCCATGGCGCGCGGCCCACCCGACGGCCGCCCGCTGCCGCGGGGCCCGCGCCCTGCCATAACGCAACGGCGTTATGTTTCGCACGTCCCGCGACGGCTTGCGCGCCTCCAGCGCGAGCGCACTAAAGGCGAACGCCGGCCACCGACCAGGACAGGTCTCAAGGTGCTGGCCCGACTTGCGCGGGCGCCCTCCGCGCGATTCTTTCCAGGCCCGACCTCTTCGAGACGCGGCCGCTGTTTCTGCTTGTCGGGCTGCGGCGCGAGGCGGGGGAATCGCTGCGCCTTCGGGAGGCGGCCCGCCACTTCTTCAGTTCAGGGTGGCCGCGGCGCCGCGCCCATCGGGAATCGCCCCCGCCGGCGTCGATGAGCCAGGGCCCGCGGCAGTCCCAGACAATGGCGCAGGCTCCAAGCACGGAGACTTCGAAGCGCGCGGCGGCCGAGCCGAGGGTCGAACCTCGAGGGGCGGGGGCCATAGTGTCAGGAGGGGAACAAACACACAGACACCATGCATCGTCGAGCCCCAGGACAGCCTGGAAAAGTGTTGGAAGTGGGGGGAGGGCGAAAACCCAGAAAAGATATGAGAAACTAATGGGAATCCTGTGATCTGTGTTTATTTGTCTGCGTGTCCCAGGGCCCTTCATGGCGGGCGTTCCGAGAGGGGCCCGCGAGGCCGCCGCCCCGAGAGCGGCCCTCGCCGCGGCGAGAGGCCGCGTGTCCCCACGCCCCCCGCCCGCTGGGATGCAGGCGGGCGTTGTGGCGGCCAGCTCGGGGAGTTCGGGCCGACCGCGAAGCTGTCTCTGGTCGGGTGCATTCCCCAGTCGGGCTCTGAGGATCGCAGACATGGATTAATGGGTCGTGCTCCCCCCCCTCCCCCTTCTTAGAGGCGGCTAGAGAAAGCGATGATCAACATTTTACAAGAGGCCGATTCGCTTATGATTCTGGCGAGGCCCCCCCCCCGCGGGCGTCCAGCGTGCGCTGTGCGATTGGGGGAGATGGCGAAGAGAGCCCCCTGCTTCCTGAGCAGGTGGGGCAGCTTCTGGGGGAGGCCAGGCCCACGGAGCTTGCCGCGGATGGATCCTCCACAAAACAGGCGCTCAGGACACTCCGGAGGGCCGCTGGGGCAATGGCCTTGCCGAGGCCCGAGGGTGAAGACGCCCTAGCCATCTTGAGAGGACCAGTTCCAGGATCCCCCCCAGACCCCTTGCTTTCGCGGAGCATCTTGCGCATGCACTTGCAGGACAGGTCTCAGCCAGACATATGTTCGGCTCGATTGCATGGCTGGAGCAACGCATGGCCAAAAAGGCAGCGAGGAGCAGATTCGCTCCAACAATACATATGCAGCTGTCAGATTGTTTGCAGGGTCTCTGCCAGGCACAACAAATGTTGTTCTCACCAGACACGTCAAGGCCCACAGGTCGGACGAGGAGATAGAAATGTTAGTGGGAGATGCATGTCGTTTTGCTTTGGCGAATAAGGCAGCCGAATACCATGCGAAGATTGCATAGATATGCACCCTCGAGCGAATCCAGATTTCCTTGCTAAAGTTGGGCTAGCACAGGAAAGAGCTGACAATATTGCAAAATTGGCTGAAGCAATATTTCCCTGCTTCGAGAGCGATAGGCGGTGGTCCCTGCTTCCCAGAGATAAGCGGCCCCAGTATCGTGCGAGCTCTAGTTTTCATGATTGGAAGGAGTCCTCTCTTGGACTTCAGTGCAGGCAGTGTTTGGTGATCGTTCCTCCTGGAGATTCTCCCGCTATGGATGGCTGTGAGGGCGCCCCAACGTTCCTGCAGAAGCTCCTCAGGGATTCCAATGGACACGTGGTCGTTGCGGTCCAGGGGCCGGTCGTTGGCGGGGGAGATCAGATCCTTGGGATCTCTTCGAGGAGGAATGTGAAGCAGTTTCTGCGTGTTCAGTGTGGGGGATGGTCGCAGGGCCGCGGAGCCAAACTTGGGCGCGCTTGCCTTCCCCCACTAAGAAAGGCGCTGAAGTTTTGCAAACAGTTTTCGGAGAGGAATGGGCCCGAACCCCCGCCTAAGGGCGGCAATAGAGCGAGTCCTTCCATTCTCCCAAGTTGATCTTACCTCCACCTCGAGGCGGCAGGCGCGAGCTGTCACCCTCGTCCGCCAGGTGGGTGGGGTCTTCCTCCGCGCAGCAGCTCCCTGCTGCGCCTTCGGAGGTGCTTGGCTACGAGGTCAGGCTGAAGGCGCTGATGCAGCGCACCCAGGCCAAGGAGGCCAGGCAAGGAGCGCCACTCCTTGCTCTGATCCTTTTTTTGTTTAGTGTGGTCATGTGACCTGTCTTCGGATGCTCTGTCATTCATTCATTCCTCCTGTTTTCGGCCTCTGGGGGCCTTCGCAGTGCCGCGGGACCGTCAAGCAACGTCAGAGAGGAAGCTCAGGTTCAGGAGAAAGGGCATGCGGATCTTCGGGGCCCAGGCTGCGACGTCGGAGTTTTTTTTCTGGGGGGGCGGGACTTTGTCAGAAGGCCCAGAATCAGGCGATCGCAAACATGGATCCAGGGGGCGCGGATTGGCGACGGGCCCCGTTTCCATGGGAAGTCGCGGACTTCCCGCCGCCGAGCGAGGCGGCACCAGCCGCACTTTGGAGGAGGGCACCTCCCCCGACCCATGGATTCGGCGACCGCGCGCCAAATCCATGGATCGCTAGTCTGCGTTTACGCGCCCCAGACTCCTGAGTCGGGCTCGCAAGAGAGCGGTTGCCGCGGCGGCGTGGGGCTGGCTGCCTCTCTGCCCTGACCCCAGTCGCTCCTCTGCTTGTCCATTCTTTCGGCGCGAGTCCCCCCATCGGCGGCTGCGAGGTCCGCAGTCTGGGCAGGCTGGCGGCGGAAACGGCAGTGGGCGAAGCATCCCGCGAGCGCCACCCAGCCCTGCCTTGGTGTTCGATGCGCTGCGTGCGTCTTGAGGGGCCCCGCCGAAGTCGGGAGTGGATGCCAGCATGTGGGCGGCCGGTGGCGAAAGCTGCAGTGGATAAGAACAGGCCACGAGCGCCGCCCAGCGTTCTCGAGTGCACCGACAAGCGTGCGAGGGCCCACGGCCGAATGCGGGAGGCGCCCCTCGGTGCGTGGCAGCAGGCGGCCGGGCCAGCACCTGAGAACCGCGTTCGTGCCATGGCGCCACAGCTCCTCATATTCCCTCCGCTTCCTCCTCCTCCTCTTGCCTCCTCCTCCTCCACTTCCTTCTCCTCCGCCTCTTCCTCCTCCCTCCTCCTCCTCTTCCTCCTCCTCTTCCACAAATGCACAATACGAATATTATTTTCTTCTCTCCCCACTGATGACGTCCGGGAGATGTCCGGCCCCCTTCGCATATTTTTACACGGGATTCCCAGGAGTTTGGCTTTCGCTTGGCTTTTGCCAAAAGCTTTTCCCGCAGAAGCGCTGGTCTCATTTTCGGGTTTCCGCTTGTTCCGAATCGTGTTCCCGCTGCAGTGCTGGCCTCATCTCCGCGTTTCCGCTCGTTCCAAATCGCGCTCCCGCTGCAGCGCTGGCCTCGTTCTGCGCTTGAGCTCGTTACGAATCGTGCTCCCGCTGCAGCGTTGGTGCCATTATTTCCAGCGCCATGCCACGGCATGCAATGCAATGGCATGTGGTGTTCTGCTGTACAATGCCATGCCCCGCAAACTGGAAAATGGCCAGTCGAAAAACCATCGGAAGTGATGACACATTCGGTGTCGCTTCGGTTAATTTTGGGGCCGCAGAAGCCCCCACTCTGGGGCGTTCAGGAAATATCAAGCGGGAACCCCGTTTCTGCTTTGAGAAGGCGATGTTGAAAACAGAGCTAGCGGGTGCTCGCCATCAGTTCCGCCTTGTGTGGAACTTTTCGGGGAGCCCAAAGAGCTAGACATGGAGCCGAGACTCCAGATGGGCCCACGCCTCTCGAAGACGATCCACTGACCCTCCACGAATTCTGGCGCCATGCCATGACATGCTGTTCGGAGTAGTGGATTGTGCCGCTGTGCGATGCCATTATTTGCGTTGCAGTGCGAAGCCATTCTTTGCGATGGCATTCTCTGCGTTGCAATTCTTCACTACGCGACGCCACGCCATGCTATGGCAAGCTACGCTGTGCCGTGCTCTTTTACGCCTTGGTATGCCGTGCTCTACAATGCATCGCGCACCCTCTCGCGATCATTGCCTTGCTCGACATCCAACGATGCGAATAGAGATGAGATCTACGCCATGGTAAGGGATGGGAGGGACGGGTCTGACGTCAGATATGACGCGAGCGCACCTAGTTTGTTATCCTCCCCCTTCTCCTCTTCCTCCCCCCTCTCCGCGTCCTCTTCCTCCTCCTCCTCCTCCTCCTTCTCCTCCTCCTCCTCGGACCACTGCGCGCGCGATCTACTGGTGCGCAGGCAAGTGTCCCCCCCCCCTCCACCTGAGCCAGTCCGGGAAGGGCACCTCGCGCCGGGGAAGCGGCCGTCCGGAGCCGCACGCCCGCGCGGCGCTCCGGCCCTCCCCGAGGAGGCTGCCGCCATCGGCTCGCTCACGGAGAAGGTCGAGGAGCTCGCAGGCCAGGTCGCCAAGGACGAGAAGGACCTCCAGATGGCCACCAAGATCCGTTCTTCCGACGTCGGCGACTTCGAGGCTGAGGAGAAGGAGTCGGGGAGCCTCGAGCGGTCTGGGCCCCGATCCCCCCCACCCTCGCCCCCTCCTGCCCCTCCCGCCGCATGCCCCTGCCCCTCCCATGCCCCTCCGGAAGTGCTCGATGTGAATACTGCCTTTTTCTCTCCCCCGAAGACGGCCTGAGGTTGGTACGCCCCCCTCCGCGACGGTCTCTTGCACAGGATTGGTCCGACATGTTTTTGCTGTTGTGCTTTCTCAATCCGAACGTTCTCGGCCATTCTATACGCAACGGCGCTCCCGCTGCAACACAGCCTTCTCCGGATCCCCTCCCGAGGCGCGCCATCGCCAGCATGTCGGGGCGAGTCCCTGGGCCGAGGCGGCGCGGGCCCCCGGGGAGGCCCACGTAGAGAACGGAGGAGGTCACAGTCCTCTCCGGAGCCCCATCGGGCCTCCGCGAGGGATCACGAGCGAGCTGCTGAAAACCACGCGCCTTTGCACTCGCGAGCTTGAAGATCCCTTCGAAAACCACGCGCCTTTGCACTCGCGAGCTTGAAGATCCCTTCGATCTGGTCCACTCGCGCGCCAGCCGCGCGAGCACGAGTCCGGTGCCACCAAGCGCGTAGTGGCGTCGGCTTCTGGCCAGCACCTCCTGCGCCGGTCGTGCCGGCCGTGGCTCTGGCCCGCAGCGTGGCCCTCGGGCCCCTCGATCTCCAGGGCCCGGCTCGTCGCCGCAGGCCCTTGTGTTGCTCCGCGCCACGAGGTCCTGGGTCATTCCCCCCGATGCCGCCCCTCGTTCGCCCATTCAGCAGGGCTGCACGGACACCCCGCGCACCAGGGGGGGAAGAGAAGCACGGAAATCATGCAGAGAATCGAGGGGGAGGGGAGCACGCACACGTTGTCCCATCCTCTTTCTCCTCCTCCTCCTCCTCCTCCTCGTCCTCCTCTTCCTCCTCCCTCCATTCCTTAAAAAAACTCCTCCCTGTCGCACCTCGCAGCCTGAGACTTCC